TTTTTTTTTTTTCTTGAAACTAGATATGAATACACTTCAAAAAAACAAAATACAGACTTCGAGAGGTCGAATAGCCTATACAAATAAGGAGTTCCACGGGGGATCTAAGCCATAAAAAACCAAGATAAGGTGTTAGAGTAATTTTGTGAATATTGTATTTTTGGTATAAATAAATTTTCGTATCTTGGAGATTTGATGTAGATTGTTTTAGGGCTTCCTTTGTACCTTTATATTCGGCCATTGTAAATCTGGGTGGAGCAAGGTTATTGGGAAAACGAATTGGTTTTCACGTGTTTTGCCATGGTATCAAAGTCCGGTTAAATTTTTTTCTCTCGAATCTCAAGTCTCAATCAACTGAGACTCAATTTTTTTTTTCTATTGCTCTTTTTTTTTCTCTCTTTTGGTTGCTCTTGATCAACTAAGATTCCCGTTAGCTGTTAAAAAAAAAAAAAGAATTGAGAATTGAGCGTGATTTGACCTTGTGGAGTTTTTGCGAGAAGATTGGTTTCTTGGGCCAAGATTTTTGCTGAAGTTGAATTATTTGTGTGAGAGTTTCAGTCAATGGCAGAGACATACGTTTTAGCCGGAGGACGAGCTGGTCGTGGTAGATACGGTGACGGACCGGCTGTTATCGGTCGTGGTAGTCCAGTCTTTGCCAACGCCGCCTTCGCGAACAGGGCTGCGCTTAGTACCTTTTGCTCTGTACATGGCGGGCCAACATCCTCATTGTTGGACTCTGATCGGGCGGCTGTATTTGGGTTAACTGATGCCCAATGGGAGTCTATTGTCCACTTCGTCACTTCTGCCCGCAACAATACTCCTTTTCCCGGTAAGCGTAGTCTTTATGAATGGATGTATGATAGCGGTGCTTCACATCATATGACGGGTTACTTGGAATTTTTTTCTGATATTTGGGATATTACGCCCCGGTCTGTGCAGTTACCTAATGGCACGCTCACCATTGCGTGTAAAGCTGGCATTGTTCATCTCGGTTCTCGTCTTATTTTATATGATGTTTTGTTCATTGACAGTCTTCAGTGCAATTTGATATCGTTATCTCGTCTGTTGGAACAATCTGGTTGTGTTGCTACCTTTACTAGTAAATATTGTGCTATTCAGGACCTCACTTCGAGGACGGTGATTGGGGCGGGAGAGCAGTTGAGGGGACTCTATTTTTTCCGAGGGACGATCGCTGCCAATACTTCTCGAATGTCTTCGGTTATGCAACACTTGTGGCACCAACGGATGGGCCATCCCTCTTCTACTGTTCTTGGTCAGTTGCCTTTTGTTGAATCTCACTCCTTGGTCTCGAATAAAATTTGTGATGTTTGTTGTCGGGCAAAGCAATCTCGTGCTAGCTTTCCTTTTAGTCGAAGTGTTAGCAGTTCCCTTTTCAGTTTGATTCATTGTGATGTGTGGGGACCTTATAGAGTTCTTGCCTTTAGTGGTGCTCGATATTTTCTGACTACTATTGACGATTATTCTCGCGGTACTTGGATTTTCTTATTGGATGACAAATCTTCGGTGTCTTCCATTTTGCTGCAATTTTTTGCTTTTGTCAAAAGTCAATTTGGTGCGTTGGTTAAAACTGTTCGCAGTGACAATGGGACTGAATTTACTCGTATGCGTGATTATTTTCGTTAACAAGGGATTGTTCATGAAACTTCTTGTGTCGGGACTCCTCAACAAAATGGACGTGTTGAGCGTAAACATCAGCATATTCTTAATGTTGCTCGAGCATTACGCTTTCAAGCCCATTTACTGATTGAGTTCTGGGGACATTGTGTACTTGCTGCTGGCTATTTGATTAATCGAATGCCTACTCCTCTCTTATCCGGCAAGACTCCCTATGAACTTTTGTATGGAAAACCTCCAAAATATTCGCACTTACGTGTTTTTGGTTGTCTGTGTTACGTGCACAATCAGAACAGGGAAGGTGAAAAGTTTGCAAGTAGGAGTCGTCGATGTGTTTTTGTTGGCTATTCATATAGTCAAAAGGGGTGGTGTGTTTATGATTTGGACAACCACACTTTTCTGGTCTCACGTGATGTGAAATTCTGTGAATCAGAGTTCCCTTATTTGCTGTCTCCTGCTCCTGACAATGCCTCCGTACCTCTGGTTCTATGGCCTTTTGTTTCTGACGATGATGATAATGTAGTGGTTCCCACCACGACGCATACCACTGACACTGGGGGTTTTGACGTCATTATTGATAGGGGGTAATCCTCCCCAAGAGGAATTACTGGGTCGTGGTCATCGTCTCAAGAGACCCTCTTCTCGTCTTGCCGACTTTGTCTCTCACACTGTTTGTTCCTCGTCCCCCCACTCTACCTCCTCAATCACGTCATCGTCTGGTACTCCTTACCCTCTCGCACATTATGTTTCATGTGATTCCTTTTCACCTGCACATAAGTCGTTTCTGGCAGACATTTCTTCTGTTGTTGAGCCTCGAACTTTTTCTGAGGCTGTTTGAGATAGTCGCTGGTGTTAGGCTATGCAACTGGAGATTCGAGCATTGGAATCGAACCATACTTGGGATATTGTCTCTCTTCCTACTGGGAAACACGCGATCGGTTGCAAGTGGATTTACAAGATTAAATATAACTCTGATGGTTCTGTTGAGCGCTACAAGGCGCGTTTGGTCGTCTAGGGTAACCGGCGGGTGGAGGGCATTGACTATCAAGAGACATTTGCACCTGTCGCCAAGATGGTGACTGTACGGACTTTTCTTGCTGTTGCAGCTGCTCGACATTGGGAGGTTCATCAGATGGACGTGCACAACGCTTTCTTGCATGGATATTTGTCTGAGGAGGTCTACATGAAACTTCCTCCTGGTTTTCATTCGTTTGATCCTGGTAAGGTATGTCGATTACGCCGATCTCTGTATGGTTTGAAGCAAGCTCCTCGGTGTTGGTTTGCGAAGCTTGCTTCTGCTCTACGACAGTATGGTTTTCAGTAGTCTTATTCTGATTACTCACTGTTTATTTTTTGTCGTGACTCGTTGAGTTTACATGTTCTGGTTTACGTTGATGATCTGATCATTTCTGGTAGCGATCCAGTTGCCATTACTGCCTTTAAGGATTATTTGGGTCGTTGTTTTCATATGAAGGATTTGGGTTTGTTGAAATATTTTCTTGTTATTGAGGTTGATAGGAATTCTTCGGGTATTTTCTTGTGCCAACGGAAGTACACTCTTGACATTGTGACCGAGATTCGTCTACTTGGCGGAAAACCGGCGGACTTTCCCATGGAACAGAATCACCAGCTTCCATTAGCAGACGGTCCTCTCTTTTCTGACCCCAAGCGTTATAGGCGTCTCATCGGGCGATTGATCTATTTGACAGTCACTCATCCTGACTTGTCTTATGCGGTTTATACTTTGTCTCAGTTCATGCAGCAACCTCGTCAGGCCCACTGGGATGTTGCTTTTCGGGTAGTTCGTTATTTGAAGGGCACTCCGGGTCAGGGTATTCTTCTTCGTTCAGATTGTGACTTGCAGATTTACGGTTGGTGTGACTCTGACTGGGCGACTTGTCCCACAACACGCCGGTCTCTCTCGGGTTTTGTACAGTTTGGCCATTCACCCCTTTCTTGGCGCACCAAGAAACAACACACTGTAGCCCAGTCTTCTGCCGAGGCCGAGTATCGAGCTATGGCGACCCTTACTTGTGAGTTGAAGTGGTTGAAGGTTTTGCTTCATAGCCTTGGCTTCTTCATTCTCAGCCCATGCGGATTCATTGTGACAGCCAAGCAGCTCTGCACATTGCTGCTAATCCTGTATTTCATGAGCGCACGAAGCATACTGAAGTCGATTGCCATTTTCTTCGTGATGCTCTTGTTCAAGGCCTCATTTCTACCGCTCATGTTTCTACTCATTCTCAATTGGCGGACATCTTCACCAAAGCCTTGGGAAAATGCGAGTTTGATTTTTTTCTTGGCAATTTGAGCATTCGGAATCCGCATGCTCCAACTTGAGGGGGGTGTTAGAGTGATTTTGTGAATATTGTATTTTTGGTATAAATAGATTTTCGTATCTTGGAGATTTGGTGTAGATTGTTTTAGGGCTTCCTTTGTACCTTATATTCGGCCATTGTAAATCTGGGTGGAGCAAGGTTTTTGGGAAAACGAATTGGTTTTCACGTGTTTTGTCATAAGGCACTAAAAATACTGAGACCTTTAGCTAACCAAGATATGTATAGGTTGAATGGCCTATACATTGAGGGCGTGATTCAAAATGAGTTTTGTTTCTTAATTATAATTGACTTGAAAATATGATATGGTTAGTAGGATTTTAAATAAATATAAAAATAATATTTAAAATAAAATAATTAAATTAAAAATATGTCGTGAAGTGGTGGAATTGTGATATTGAATTAGATTTTGAATATGAATTGACTTTATTTATAAACAAACACGCTGTAATGTAATTTAGATAGAGAACTCAATTTGGTAGCTAAGTTTCATCTATTGGTTTATTCTCTCTGCATAATCTTAGTTCCTTCTTAGAATTATAGTCTTCTAGGGTTTTTGTTTGTTATGCTTAGTTCAAGTCGTTTGGGGTTCCTTGTTCTTTGTCTTTCTTAACTGTGTTAGTGTTTGTATCTTTTTTATGGTAATTGT